AGTGTGTGTGTGTGTGTGTGTGTGTGAGTGTGTGTGTGTGTGTGTGTGTGTGAGTGTGTGTGTGTGTGTGTGTGTGTGAGTGTGTGTGTGTGTGTGTGTGTGTGAGTGTGTGTGTGTGTGTGTGTGTGTGAGTGTGTGTGTGTGTGTGTGTGTGTGAGTGTGTGTGTGTGTGTGTGTGTGTGAGTGTGTGTGTGTGTGTGTGTGTGTGAGTGTGTGTGTGTGTGTGTGTGTGTGAGTGTGTGTGTGTGTGTGTGTGTGTGGTGTGTAATGAGGGACACACACCCAAGACGGTGAAGTGTGATTGCAGGGCAGACACCAGTGTCACACTGAAACAATCACACCCATTTGGCGACTAAATGTACTCCCACTCGGAATCGCTTTATTTTAATGAAACACATGAAATAAATTCCCTATTACAGTCCAATTAATCTAAATCTAATAAATACGGTTGAGTATGTTTAAACTAGCCAGTGTTGGTCTTGTGCAAGGTAGGCAGAGCTGCATTGAATTTTGTTGGGTGCACAGATTAGCATGAGCTTCTGACAATTGGTATTTACTTGATGACTCGAGTATTTGTACACACACACACACACACACACACACACACACACACACACACACACACACACACACACACACACACACACACAGTTTAGTGTAGTGCTTTCACAGTGACTGAACCCGTGTTTAGTAAATTTTTAAGAGGCTTGTTCCTACTTTGTACATTGCAACCTACTGTCGGAAATGCATCATCTTTTATTCATAGATACCGAACTCAAATTAGTTCTCAACCAATTCTGAAATATGACTATAATTAAGTATGTTCTCCCCCGCCTCCTCCCCCCAGCTCTGCACCAGCACAAGAGCTATTACTAAATAATGAGGGCTGTATTCATTATTCATGAGCCAAGACAAACGTAGCCATAAAAGGTCTGCACGCTGGGGTAGTCGTACATGTTGCAAAATTCCACGCAGAACATAAAAGGACGGTGAAAAATGAGCATTAACTAAGTTTAGCTGGATATCGATGATGCGTGACTGTTTCATTGCTTCGTAACCACAAACGGGCCATTTTTCTCCCATGCCCCTGCAAAAAAAAAAAAAAAAAAAAAGACATGTTGCAGCCCAAACCATGAAACAGCTGCCACTGGAGGTTGCAATCAAGGAAAGTCATCATAATAATTCTTAAAGCTACATAATTATAAGACTCAAATGCTTTGTTGATCTCAGATGGATAACTGAGCAGAACTAGAATTTTTTTCATTGACACAAAAAAAAAAGCAAAAGCGCTGCTTTTTAAATGCTGCTCATTTGCACTATTTTCTCAGGTTGGAGCAGGACTTCATGAGTCTACCAAATTACCTGTTTGATTTCTGCAAATAAATGGACGGCACTTCACATCAATTGTGACACATTCCAGAAGTTACACAATTCGAGTGGTTTAACTTTTGGCATTCAATGTTCCTACTGTATGTCACAAACATTTTACAATCTCTAACATTTTCAATAACCATTGACTCACTGTTTTTCAAACAATCAGATTATCTCAGTTGGCATGTGTTTTTCTTTTCCGCTGTAGCTTATCTTTCCGTTCAAGTCCCGCATTTCTTCACGGTTTAACTGTTGGATATTTTTTTTTAGATGTTTCTGCTGCAATCCTTGGGCGCTATGTGTGTCATTCAGTCGACGAGTTAAATTAATACATGCAACACAAGATTACAGTTTGTACGAGTTAATGTATTTGTAGGAGACTGTAGCAGCTGACAAGTAAATGGTATGTATTCTTTCTAGGTTTGTTTTCATAAACTGAATACAAACCATTATTCAGTACCAAGACATTCTTGTTTCATTGTTGTGGAAGAGGAGGCGTCAAAGCAGACCAGAAAAAACTTTTAAGCGACTTGTAATTATTAATGACTTTTGATGCTTTCGTGCGGAAAAACGTATATATGTAAAAAGATCTTTATAGCTTCATATAAATAATGCACTTCATGTGCATGCCGGGGGGAGTCTTATTGTATTCCACACATGCATCATATATGGATATCATATATGTCCAGGACAATCAGCTTTCTCGATCATGCAACGATTCAGCAATGTAGTGCTGGGAATCTGACACCAGAAAATATTTTTAGTGCTGGGAATCTGACACCAGAAAATGTTTTTAGTGCTGGGAATCTGACACCAGAAAATGTTTTTAGTGCTGGGAATCTGACACCAGAAAATGTTTTCTCCTCTGCACATATTTCTACCTCAGCACCACAAACACATTGCAATGATGTAATCATTAAGGATGTATGAAAGCACATTTATATGAAATTGTGTTGCAATGTCAAACTTTAAAAAAATTGTGTTTTCAACAATGAAAAAAAACTGACGAAAGGATGATTTACTCTTTTGTGGAATTTATGCTTGATGACTATAAACATACTAGGTGACTACAAATTTTGTTCAAATTCAATTCATTCTTCTAATTTTTTTTTCTTTTCCCAAATTTTAGAGCGACAGCCACACACCGAGGACAGATCCTGTTCAAGGATGCTCTGGCCCAGCAACTCTGTGAACAGGGAGGTGAGTACACACTGTACCGCCCCCCCCCCCACACACACACACACACATTTATACACACGTATTAACACACACACGCATATGGGGTCCAATATGATTTTTGAAGCGAAATGATTCATTTTTCTTGGATTCAGTGGGACTACGACTTTATCCAATATGGTACTCATATATATATGTATAGATAGATAGATAGAGATGTTAATGCCTATAATTCAGTTCATTTACAATTTAAAAAATAAAAGCTGATTTACTACTCCACTGATATGTCAAAATAAAATCTGGAAATATTCATATATAATTTTTTTTATTTCAATGTAACAAACTATACAGACATGGACAGGTATAATCCATCCAGAGAAATCGCTCCAAAGATCAAATCCTGTGTAAACAATGTGTAAATAACAAGTGCATTTATTTTCATCCTTGAGTCTTGTGAAAGCAGCTCTCCCAGTCAGTCATATTGTTCCCCCTCTTGAGTACATATTGTTAAAGGGTATAAGGATTCCACTTCTTCATTCCAGTGGCACAGCATTACAGCGACACAGCTGAAGCTCAAGAATCCTAGAGGCGCTATATTGCCAGCTTAATTTCAGCTTATGCTCAAGTTAGCTTTTTAACCCTCTCCCTTGTTCTCCCTTGCTGTCAGAGATTTCTACTTTATGGCAGACACCGCTTATACGGTATCCACTTGCTGTGACAGCCTTAAGTAGCAATTGACAGACAGCACAGTCCAATTCCGCATGCTGAGTGAGTATAATCGCTTGTTTACAGGGAAGAAGCCCTTTGCTTACTCGCGGGCTCCTCCTCACAGTGTAAATTTAAGAGGTGCAGTCATTTCACTCTTCATGCCTTTTTGGAGACAGGTTGGGGTGGGAAATGAATGAAGATATTCTCTCAAGTACACGCCTACTGAAGTACTCCATCTTATGCGTGTTACCTCCTTGAACGAGAGATCGAACACCTCGCCACTATCTGCTCGCTGATTGTTTTATAATGCCCTAAAAGTTGTACAATTTGGAGGAATGCTGGCCCCCCCCAAAAAAAAAAAATCCTGGAAAAACATATCTCTAAAGCCAAATAAAACTTCACAAAACTTCCTATTCGATGCTATAGGAGTGACCAGGGTTACGATTTTTTGGAGACACGTCGTTCAGCCAATTTTTTTGCTTTGGCCTGCGAGCCTGGTGTCAGTGAACTCAACTTGCTTCACAAAAAGCAGCAGTTCAGCAGATAGGGAGCAATTCTTCAAAAACAGGACCTAAAACAAAGACAATGACATGTTGGATATTTAAAACAACACTACGGTTGCCTTATTTCAGTCTTTAGACCACAGGTGTCAAAGTCAAGGCCAAATCTGGCCCGTCACATCACTTTATGTGGCCCGTGAAAGCAAACCAAGTATGTGCAGTGATAAACTTGAGAATGCTGAAATGTTACTTAAAACATGTTTTATGTTCATGCTTTATTATGGCGACAGGGTGACTTTACACAGTTTCTTATTGGGAAAATGAGTTTTGAATTGGAACGAATTGGAAGTCTACCCCAACAACACGGAAGTGGATTGTGTCGGAGCGGACAAGCCGCAAGGATTTCAACCTCAAGGTCTGAAAATGTCGTAAGTGGCAGCAGAGCAGCAAGCAGTGACGTATCCATAATGATCTGTAGTCAACTAATCCAAGTGTGACACTGATAAATGGGTGGGGGCCATGAAGGAGGGATGCGGAGCTGGAAATGATCGCTCACAGGGGTGACAGCTTTCTCGACAGGAAAGATGACAAAGTCAACATCTGCACAAATCACGAGTGTGCTGGCATTTTAGTGATGACCTCTCACATCTGACAGGATCATATTTTCAACTGCTCCTCCAGTATGTGGGCCGCTCAGAGCCCAAACTTACTTGAAATCTCAAGATTAATATTCAAAGTGGAATCATCATTTCCGAAAAAAGAAATATGAGGCCAGCCCGAGCCTCTTCTTATGCTTAAGACTGACGCTTTGAAGAACAGCGGAAATGAAAGCGATGTAAAGCAGGGTGATGATCCTTGGAGGAGGGAGGAAGAAAAGTGAAAAGAAAAGTTGGAGGGAGATGCGTCAATGGTTTGAAAAACACATATTCAGATTCGTCAGGTGAAAAGTTGAAGAGAAAGCGAAGGTTTAGGTGCTGAAACCGTCTGGGCATAGAGAGCAGGGATGACGTTCTTATGTAAAATAATGTGTCAACAGCCAACAATATCTACTTTATTGAGTTTCAGACTATAAACAGTGACTTTATTCTCTTTTCTCGCCAAAGATGCAACTTACTGATGGACTTTCCAATCCCAGGAGTATCACGTTTTTATCTTAGCTTCTCTTTCATTCACCAAAATCCTTCTTTACAGTGCATGAAGTTTTCAACGGGCGCCATGTCGTAGAGTTAACTCTTCATGTTTTTAAATCAAATCGGCACACAACGAAGCATTTAGATCGTGTTGAAACCTTTGCTCAAGCTCACGCCCTCATCGTGTTGAAAACCGCTTGTGCTACTTTCCTACAGTCAGGTGGGCCCTTCTTGTTTTCGTCCATGTATTATTGGTGCAATATGAATATCTGGCTCTCAAGACTGAATTTTAAGCTTGAGTCAACCCCAGCCTATTTGTGAGCCGCTGTTCATGAGTTCACATACTGACACTTTTTTTCTGTGGAGTTTATCCTCAAAAAAAACATATTCTTGCTTTTATGCGCTCCAAAACATGGCACCAAAAAACCTTAGCTAATTAAAAACTTGTAATTTGTGTCCAGGTAGTAATTTGAAATGATACTGTACATCTCCACTCAAGCTAAATTCACCCCCACTGAGTTCCGACAAACTAATCCAGATGAGAGAAGTCCATGGCAGGAGATGAGAAGGACCGCGCTGTCGGCTGAGGGCTCAAGTGTTTGTGCCTGTGGAGCCAACCGGCCGTCCATCAGCTCCACTTCCTGACAGCAGGCTTCTTGTTTTCGTTCATGTTTTATTGGTGCAATATGAATGCCTGGCTCTCAAGACTGAATTTTAAGCTTGAGTCAACCCCAGCCTATTTGTGAGCCGCTGTTCATGAGTTCACATACTGACACTTTTTTTCTGTGGAGTTTATCCTCAAAAACAAACATATTCTTGGTTTTATGCGCTCCAAAAGATGGCACCAAAAAAGCCTTAGCTAATAGGGAACTTGTAATTTGTGTCCAGGTAGTAAGTTGAAATGATACTGTACATCTCCACTCAAGCGAAATTTACCCCCACTGAGTTCCGACAAACTGATCCAGATGAGAGAAGTCCATGGCAGGAGATGAGGAGGACCGCGCTTTCGGCTGAGGGCTCAAGTGTTTGTGCCTGTGGAGCCAACCGGCCGTCCATCAGCTCCACTTCCTGACAGCAGGCCAGCGGTCCCGGCGTTCTGCCCGCCGTCATTTGGGGTCCTCATTTCCAGTAGGGAAATAAATCTGGTGTTTATGAGCCCGGACCAATACACCGCAACCCAGATGGATTATCACGGGGATTTATAACTCATAGAGGCCACTGCTCCCTGAGGGACGCTTGTACGCGGCGCAAAAGAGAAGTAATGGAGGGCCGCATATCTCTCGTCACCTCGCTCCTACCCGCCCTGCGTGTTCACCTTCAGCAAAGCTGAAATGAACCCTGTCCACTATTTGTGACTGAAATCCTTAAAAAAATGAGAAGGTAAACTTTTTCCACTCAGGATCAAAATTACAAATTCGCTTCCTCCCGACAACTGAAATGTATTGCCAACATGTCATCAGATTGCATCCGTTTTCCACAACACTTGTCCTCGTTAGGGTTGCAGGTCCGATGGGGCCGATAGGGTGAGTTTCGTTGAGAGGCGGGTGTTGCCAACATGATTGCATCCGTTTTCCACAACACTTGTCCTCGTTCGGGTTGCAGGTCCGGTGGGGCCGATAGGGTGAGTTTCGTTGAGAGGCGGGTACACCCTAGACTGGTCGTGAGCCAATTGCAGGCACATGGAGGCACTTTCAATTACCCTAAAATTCATGGTGAAGGAAGCCAAACCTTAGAATTGTGAAGCACACCACTTGCCCATCTTCCTGCCCAGTTCTTGATCAAATTACAAGTTTGGGTTGCTCCTTGGCACTCACATTCTCACACTGAAAAAAAATATGCCCAGCCAGAATTGTGAAGCATACCACTTGCCCATCTTCCTGCCCAGCTCTTGATCAAATTACAAGTTTGGGTTGCTCCTTGGAACTCACATTCTCACACTGAAAAAAAATATGCCCAGCTATCATCAGATTACATTATATAAATATACTGTACAACGTGAATCAACATTATACCTACTAATAAGGAACACAACCGGGAGATATTCACTAAAATAAATCCTAAAGCCATTTCCCCCTGAAAAATGTGCAATCGAAATATTGTCACTTGACCCAGGACACTAATTGTATTGGGTCCCAGTAAAATGCTTTCGTAAAAGACTATTTGTAAGTGAACATCAGTCTGTCTTGTCCTCTGAAACCACTTGACAAGTCAAAGAGTCAAAACAAAGTCAATTTAATGTTTTCATGTGACAAAATAATGATAAAAAATGAGCAAGACAGCCCAAAGCAGTTGAAGTGCATTGTGGGTAACATGATTAGATCCCATTCTTCTTCCCAAAGCTGAGTTTCATTCAACAACTGTTTATATTTGTCTTTTTGATTTGTTTTTTTGATCAGATAAACACCATAGTTTATAACTAACCTACGCTACAAAGTAGTAGTCATAAGTCCAGCAACTAGTATTACAACAAAGTTGCAGGCCACCAATATAAAACCTTAAAATGTAAAACGGCAAGTCCGCCGCTAATTTAGCATACCTTCTTGTGCCGTTCGTGACCTGGAACCTTTGCATATCCGCCTGTACTTCCACCCTTACACTTTTACCCTCATGCCCATCAAGGAGGGCAGCCGTGTAAGTTATGCAGTTCTATTTTTATCTCACTTGTGAGATCTTTACTGGCATATGATACTCCAGCAATAGAGGGTGCTGCAACTACTTGAGCTTCTTGACAGAGAAAACTCATTTTTCTCGTAGCAAAAATAATCCCTGAATATATCCCCTCCTAAAAGCAATCTGCAAATTTTGTAACCGTGGCCAAAGCTTGTTTCGCTCTGTCGTGGTATCACAGCATTAGTTGTGATAACACGAACTTTTGAAATGGGAATGTGGTTGTGAATGGTTTTTAGTTGAAAAAGTCACCCTGTCTGCCCATAAATAGAGAAACCACTGACACGTATCTTGATCCTGCGAGAAATTCACAAAACACTGCTGGCAGCAGTGGGATTCGAACCCACGCCCCCGAAGAGACTGGAGCCTTAATCCAGCGCCTTAGACCGCTCGGCCATGCTACCGGTGTCCTGTGAGCCTCTTAATATCTGATGCAAGCAGTCCAAAGTACGCTCAACCTGCTGAAGGGGAGTAAACAATCTCTTTTTCCAACTGCACTGAAAACTCCCACCGGGGAAAATAAGGATAGAACGGGAAAGTATTAGTGTCTTCTAGTGGCTTCTTGCCTACCTCCACTCACCTATATGATTATTGTAATGATGCCAATTGAAATCCAAACGGCGGCCCTCCTTTTTGCAGTGCGGGGTGAAGTGGCCTACAATCTGACCCAGGAGGATCATCTCATCTCAGTAATTCATTGAAGCTCAAACAACAGCATCCTGAGTCCTGGGGAGAGCATAATTGCGACCGCCAGTTAGTGCGACTTCAAACGCGGCTCACCTTGTCGAGGATGTGAGTCAGACGAAGTTAAAAAGAGCAAACTGGAGGGGGGCGAGCAGGGCGGATGGCATTTACGGAGTGGCGAGAAAAAGCCAAGAGAGAGGGGAGATTAGAGAAAGGATCGGACTGAAAGTGGAAGAGGGGGAGAAGATTTAATATGACTTGTGCCCTGTTCCATTTGTGCGCAGATGTCTAAGTCTGCCAAAGCTTATGCTCATGACAATCATTCAACCCCCAAAAATACTCATCAGCACTGCTCCACTTTTAGTGCAACTTTTTTTTTTTTTTTGTATTTTCCTGTTGATGGGTGCTTGGGAAAATCAGCAAAAAAACCAACAAGGCAGTCAGGATTGCGCGTGCGTGCCGCTGTGTGTGCTCGATTATAAATCCTGGCTAGGAAGATACAGGCATTAGCAGAGATGAGCTGCTAATAGAAGACGCAGTAATTGAAGTCTTTAAGGAAGTGAGAGGGGATTAATCCTAGTGAAATGAGCACCACTGTCTGGTCCGGAAGCGCAGAGGGTGAAGTGGCTCTGCGTGATATAAGACAGCGAGAGAGAGTTTGATGAAGCATAGAGAACGAAAACAGTAAATGAGTCCTTTTTTTTTTTCAAGAAGGAAAGGATTACCCACTCAAAAAAAAGAAAAGAAAAAGATTCTCTGCCTCTCTGCAGCCAGTTGGACTCAGTAGCAAGACCAAATGCAATTCGGAAGGGTTGTTGAAGAGAGCAGAGTATAAACATAGCATGTGCGTTACAGGGCTTTGAGTGGGTGGATTTGTGGGAATTTCTCTTTGCTCGCTTTTGTAAACTGTTTACACAACTATTTATCCCCTTGTTATAACACTTTAGGAAGAGCGCAAACAAGTCGCACAAAGAATGCACGGCTTGCACACATCAGGTATCCTACATAGCTGCCTTGAGTGTGTTTTGAATCAGGAGACGTTGAAGGATTAGAAGCGGAGAACAAGAAGTGCTCGGGGAGGCCTTTGATATGCTTTTCATGGGCTTCATTGTCCCTGTGAAGCTGAGCAGCAAAGGAATGCCAGAGCAGCACCGACTGAATCACCCTGCATGAAACCTTAGGACTACTGGGTGATTCTATAAATCCTTTCCTAATTGGCATTCAGAATTGCAAACGACAATGTTGTCGAAACCAAAAATACTTGCCGAGCGCTCACTATACTAAGGCACGTTTGTCGCACTGATTTCGGACTCAGTCGATTATAACCCGTTTTGAATGACTGACTGAAGTAGCATAGTTACTTAACTTTGGATCCCTCAGTTGCACTCAGTGCATGTGTTTTATCAGATGGATTGGCTCATCCTGGATTGAAACTATGGAGGCAGATTATCCCTTTCTTCAGTCTCGAGAAAGATGGCTTGATGTCAGAGCCGCGCAAAGAAGCTCAACTGGTTTCAAGGGTGGCATTGTTCAAGAGGTCAAAGGCGATGTCACACTTACAGAGATCTCACTTTTTGGGCCCTCACACCCTCATTCAAGAATATACAGTACATAAAGATGGTTAATTTGCACAAAACACAACTAGTGTTATGTGTTATGGATCAGCGTACAGACAAAATGTCCAGTAAGAAGACTGCCATCACCCTGAAATTGAGCTGCAAGACGAGATGGTCACAACGGCTTCTCACACAGTTCCACTCAGACTGAAGCTTGCCATGGTCGACCAACGTAGTTGAGTGCACATGCTCAGCATTCTAACCAGTAGTCTTTGGAAAATAAACGTGTGAGTAATGCCAGCATTGCTGCAGAGGCGAAAGAGGTGAGGCTCACCCTGTTGCTTCTCAGACCATATACATGTACCTCTACACCTAATCAAATTGGACTTGTAAGAGAAGGAGCCCTCTTATCAAGATGATGGACCAGAAAGCAGGCCAAGTACATGGTTTATTGGAACCATGTCCTGTGGTCTGATGAGACAAAGATAAACTCATTGGTTCAGATGGTGTAAGTTGTGTTGTAGTTGGAATCAGGCAAGGAGCACAAAGACAAGTGTGTCTTGCCGACAGTCAAGCATAGTAGTAGGAGTGTCATGGATGGGTACAGCGGTGTGGGCTGCCGGCACTGAAAAGCTGTAATTCATTGAGGGAACCTTAGAGGCAGACATGCTAACCACAAGTTCACCATGCTGCCCTACTAAAACCGTGCTTACATATAATTTAATGCTCTTACAGGCGACTGAATTAAGTAGCACAAATCAACGATTCTTCATGCTCGGCAATTGCAAAGTAAAGAAAATAATTCCGAATCTTATATTACCCCGTCACCAATCCATCCTGAATTCTAAACACGACCTCTTCAGTCCCATAATTTACAACTGCCTCAGCTTTGAAGCACAAAGGTCGCATATATGCTCTGTAACTTCAAGACCTTGCAAAATGGCAGACTGTATGTTTTGATGGTGTTTTTAAATCATCATATTTGATTCATTAAGTCCTAATACTTTTCTGCTGCGGTACATCCCGAAGGAGACTGATGCTTTAGAATGTTAGCTTGGCCTTGGCCACAGATTGCTGCATTCAAGCAAGCTGACGCCTCCGGGGTGGACAGCAGTTAATTGGCAATGAACCGTTAATCATGGCTGCCCGGCCCTTCATGACTGAAAGGAATTAACATCAGCGGCCAGGAGACCACAGCTGCGGCCAGCCAGGACACCACCAAAGTTTGTTCTGCCACCACATGATTGACGATGAGGCCCACAAAAATGTATGCACTTAGTGACTGCTTGTACACACAGAGCATATTTGCCTGTCTGGAGTATTATGCAGCATTAAGCACTTCCAGAACGATTGTTGAGCAACTTGAAGTAGAAGCGTAACGACATATTAAATACATATATCTTAAGTACAGTACATTTGTTGTATCCCGCTGTGGGAAACCCGGGAATACTGTAGTTCGTAGCCGTCATCCATCTGGATTTTTGCACGCATGGAGCATCGCTCACAGTTTGATTTGGATCAGGTTCAAATTTTGTTACAGTGTTTGAACAGCCCATCTTTCTTCAGTTTTGATCCAGTTATGACATTTTTTTTTCTCAAGTGCGAGTTGTAGTGTTGTTGAAAGCTTCGGTTTTGCTGAACAACTCTGTTGCACACTGAATGCAGTATTATGTATGCACATTACAAATGCTGACCGGCATACAAGGTGGTTGAGATTTTATTAAACATTTGCATGTATAGGCATCTGCAACAGAATAATTTAATGGTCTACTCCAAAGCCCAAGTCTTGACAAATAATTGACTGCCCCCCCACTGGTTGAACTCCATGCATTTAATCTGAAGACTATTACATTTTAAACTACATAGATTAAAAGCATTTTTCATACTAAATACATGTTGGCGGTGCTAACTGCAACATTTTGCAAGGTTAGTCAGTTACAAAACAATTTTAACATTCTAAAGGAAGAAATGTACTATTTGCCACAGACTTTCATGTTTATTTCTGATGTGTTTTGTTTCTGATATTGACTCTTCTGTCTGTTTCAGCTCCAACAGAGTCTCCACTGAGACCAAGTCTGTGTGAGTCTGCATTTCAGCATATGGCTTTTCTTGTATTTAAGGTTACAAACATACAGGGAAGTGCAAATAGTGTTTAACATTGAGCTAATGGTATGTGTGTGCACATGTAGTGGAGGTCCATGCTAACCATGCTGTGCTGCGTGATGACTTTGATTCAAACTTGCAAGGGGAGTTGGACCCAACCATCTGGTATGTAGCCGGACCTGTTGCGATCCTCAAATTCATGCATTGTCTTGATCGCCTTGTCTTATTGATGATGGCTGTGCAGGTCTGAGTGTGCAAACTGTGTGCTGGGCGAGCAGTGTGGGGTCCTGATGCATGGCAGAGCAGTCACTTTCTGCGAGCCCCTTGGAGAGCGGGAGTTGGTAAGTGCCATTTGTGAACACTCTTGGACAGCTTTGCACCCCTTTTTTTGTTGTTTGTCATCGTTGTTGTTTTTTTTTTTCCGCTCCAGCTTTCCGCGGAGTTTGCATGTTTTCTCAGCATACTCTGGCTATCGATCGCGTTCTAAAGACATGCATGTTAGGTTCATTGAAGTCTATACATCGTTCGCAGGTGTGAATGATTGTCTATATGTGCCCTTTTAATTGACTTCATCTCTCATCCACCGTCAGCTAGGATAGGTCGCAATTCATCCACAAACCTAATTAGGACAAGCAATATTGAATGGATGAAACAATGTTTTGGTGGTTTAAAGGAAAAAAAAAATTGAATTTAGAGATTTATAGTTTGACTGTGATGCTCTAATGTCCTTCACCACCCTTTCTCTTTGCCCGATAGACAACTGTCTCTCTCAACGCCAGCACAGCATCCGTCCTTCAGTTTGCTCTGGGTGAGTATTAATGCAACTAAGGATTTGGGGCCCCTTGTTTTTAAAAAAAAACAAAAACAAAAAAAAAAAACTCACTTCCGGAACCACCACTTCAGTGTCACAAATTCAGATGATTCTTCAATGCATTTTCTTTGACCCCAGCAAGTCATGGGCCTTTCGTATGATTACCGATATGATCATCACTTCTCTGCCTCTTACAGAACCCATTCATGCACGTTAACAAAATATGACATTAAACCACATTTAGTATTGAACAAGCTGATGTGCAAAACCTTTAACATTGTCCGAACACCGAAGATACTGCATGCGTCAATCTAATCCAATCTGGAACAATACCTGTGTAGCTCCAGGAAATAGACATCTTTTGCGCTTGCCTGTCACTCCGCCAGCTTGTACACAATACAGTTCTGCTCATCTCTCGCTCTCTCTGGTCTGCATTGCTTATTAATCTTTTACACGAGGCACCCAGAAGGCCATGGTAGAGTTTTTAGAGATGTTCTATTTTTCATGACCATTATATGCATCCGGAGGTTCTCATGGGAAGGCGCAACTGAACGGACCATTCCCATTTTCCTCTTCCTCTTTCTCTTATTGTCTTATTTACTTCTGTTTTGTCATGCATGTGAGTTTATACAGCCAAAGCTGTACAGTTAAGTGGTGGCTGCTTCATGCTTGGTTGTATCCAAGCGGGGAGGGAGCAGTGCAGTAGTTTGACAAAACATGGATGCTACACCATCATGGGGGGTCTTGCAGTTGAGGATGCAGGCACTGGCATCCTCCATTAATGACCTTTGAACCCACCGTGACCGCAAGCATCCACACAAACACATTACAAACACACAGTGGTCTCACATAAAGGTTTTAAAGATGAATTTTACCCCTGGAAGATGGAAAGCCATTTCAATGGAGGGTCTAAAAGTGTTTTATAATTTTGAAAAATTCTGATCAATCATATATAATCCTTATTTGTGTTTCAAAAACGATCAGACAAGAAAATACAAGATGCCATCAATTTTTGAAATATTTCCTTTCACCAAACCCCAATTCAATCCTTGAACACCATTCTCATGTCACTTAATCCCATAATGACACCATTCAACATTATTTTCCACATGGGCAAAGGAATTTAAAGGCACCAAGTTATGCCTTTGTGCATTCTTGGAAAAAATGATCATTTTCCAGCTAGTCTGGTTCATCTGATGTAAAATAACCTTCAAAATAATGTACATTTGACACAGAATTAATTCAAAAGTCATTGTATGTCCTTTGTGTTGCCCAGGTTCCGGCTCCTGTCGTTTCAGTTACTCAGACCCCAGCATCATCGTATCATACAGCCTCAATGGAAATGCCAACACCTCGGACTGGATCACACTGGAGAAGATCAGGTCTCTCGCAATCCCTTCCTTTTTCATAAAATTCCTCTCTTTTTTTTTTCAAGTAGGCTCCCCACACAACTCTATCAAAACCTCGACACTGTGTGCCTCCAGAGCTCCTACCAACAGCAGCACCTTCGTCCACCTTCTCCCAATGCCACCGAGGTCCAGGGCCGAGAACGTTCATCTCCGCTGGTCTCAGGAAGCACCTCAAGGACCAGAAGGCTACGAGTCCTGCTGGGGCTTGGACAATGTGCTGCTGCTCAACGCTGCTCATAAAACTCCCCTGATGGAGGACAACCTCGATCCCCCAGACACGGCCAACTGGCTCTTTTTTCCCGGTGCGACAGTCAAGGTACATGTTTACATGAACTAAGGCTATGTATGACTTTCTCATATATGATCATCGAGCACAATACACTGTGTTTTACAGCATGCTTGCCAGTCAGACGGCAACTCTCTGTATTTCCATGGTGGTGAGGCAGTCGGTCACAACTTTGCCTCCAGCAGAGACATCGACCTGCACCGTGAGGAGGGAAGAAGTTACTGGGAGGAGGATTTTGAGAGCCCACCCTCAAAGTAAGTCAAGCTAATCATATGGAATCGCCACTATCAGCTGATGTTGAGTGTGTACAGTGTCCCAGAAAAAACATGACATGATTTCATAGTCTATGAAAAACCAGATTCCTCGTACAACTCTTTGGCGTGTAGTAAGGAAAAGCATGGTAATGATGCCCTAAAAGTTCGAAGATGAACAGTTTGAAAAAACATTTACATTTGGCAAAGTCAACAAGACAGAAACCCTTAGCAGGGACTTGTAGATACTCAGATATTCATATTTCAAATGATGCCAATTTTGTTGGAATGCCCTGCACATTATTAGAAAACACAAGTGACTTCATTAGTGGCTTTCATTGCTACCCACAGTATTTTTTTTATGGTTTGTGTTTTTCACAATGCATTAATTCACACCACCGACTGAAATTAAATATATTGTGTGACAGCCTTTGTAACTCAACAGAAGAGCCAACAAGTAGTTTGAATCGTTACTTTGATATTGTTTAACTTTTGACAATGGAACTTTACTGACTTGAATCCATACTTTGCTGCTTAGTGGAAATCCCGCGACAGCAAATGGCAAGTTCTGTTTTGATAAAAAGCCATTAAAGTATCCGATATAATTCTGAAAAGCAATTGTATGACAAATACAATGATCAGAGATTATTTTACACAGCTAAACCACCTTACAGCTTTAAAAGTAATCTTTAGGACCTGAGGAGCACTGCCGGATGATCATTCCTGCCCTCCTGGTTTTATTCTAGCTTGGAATTTTTGTCGCTCACTGTGATAAAAGTACAATGAGTCAAAAAGCACGCTGAGCTGTACATAGCTTAAGACCTCATTGTGTTTGATGAACACCACATCAATATGGGTGGAAAGTAAGATGAGTCTTAACTGATGGTGATATACTGTGCAGGAGAAAAAGGCCGACTTGATATTATGGATGAACAAGGATGCCTTGTGAAAATGTAGCAGTCATGTGGCATGACAAGCAGGTACATGCCATGACACTGACGGCTTCACAGACAGCAGTCCATCTGTTCACAGTGATACGCGTTGTGCGTACACTAACACAACACCGTCCAGTAGACAACTGCCATTGGCCCTTCGCTAATTGAGCATAGCGAAAAAAAGAGATGATAGATGTGTTACTCGCGGACAACAATTATCGAGGTTTACTTTTTTTTTTGCCATCATTGAGGCAAGCATGACACTAAGTGGGGCTTTCCACCATCATGCTGCATGCCATCATGCCAGGCTTGTCACAAGCGTCAGGTGTCACGGGATGTCAGGTGTCATGGGATGCCTTGTGTGTCGGCTGTGCAGGCAGAATTTTTATGGTAATGATACCCACCACCATTATTATTTACCTCAACATGGTGACTGTGACAACAACACACACACCGACCCGCATGAAATTTCTTCCATATCCGTAAAGGGATAAGGACGCCCTGGAGAGGGTTGACACACTGAGTTAACTTCTGTCAGTTCTAATGAGGATCCTCCCTCTACTGTGCACAAATATGTCTGCATGTACTGTACGCTATCTTCCAGGTGATTTATATGCTGCAATCCATGACAAACAAAGCTTCATAGATTTTCCTACTTTTCAACTATCCTCACCTAACCGGCCATTTGTTTGGTTTCCCTCAGCTGGGACATACAGGGAGCCGTATACGGGACCCAGTGTGGCGAGATTGAGTCGGGCTCGGCATTGGTGTTTGAGATGGACGGTCGGAGGAGAATGTGCACGCCCTACATCGACAGCACCTCATATGGAAACCTGCGCTTCCACTTCTCGATGGGTACTAAAAACAAGCATTGATTATGTCATGGGGCTTTACATGTCACGCTCCATACATGTGACTGAAAGTAGCTCTCTTCCTCAGGTGGTGGTGAATGTGATCCCGGGGAGTCACATGATCACAATGTAATTCTCTTTGGAAGGTCAGAAGGCAGGAGGGAACGTGTCGTCCTCGATACCCTTCCATATTCTTCATACAGGGTGAGATACATCCACAAATAAGATTTGAAAACGACTATAATGTCTGACCATGGGGTGGTTTTTCAACCTTGATATTGTAGGTTTTTTTTCTGGTGGGTAGATATCCTTGCAAAATGTAATTCGAATAACATTTTAGCAGGGATAATTACATTTAAAATGCAATTTAAGTTTAGTTGCGTATACCGCCGTGTGTTGTGCCTATGTCACATCTACTGCTAATGTATGTTCCCATTTTCCCGAAGTCAAACTGTGATGTCAAACTCATTTTGGTCACGAGACACATCATAGATATGGTTTCCGTCAGAGGGCCACGAAGACAGTGAAACCGTTTACTGTATAAGTACAGTACCTTGTCCCATTAGTGCAAATACACAATTGCCCCTACAATTAGTTATTTTGTTAACATTAAAGTGATAATTATGTAAAAAACTACTGTATTGCCCAGTTTATATTAAAGCAGTATTATATGGAAGAAACTGCTTGTAATATCTGTTAAAAGTGAATGAAAATTGCAAATTCGGGGCAAATTTTCTGCTGAAATGAAAAGAAAAAAATCAGCAAGGAACATAAAGTACAAATACTTTATTTGCTTTTGTGGACTTCATAAAATGTTCTTGGATGGCCAGATTTGGCCTCTCGGCCTTGAGTTTGACACCTTTGCAGTGGTGGATCGGGTTGAAACCTTAGCTAATTTTACCTGTTGAGTACCAACATCATGATTGTCTTCTATGTTTAAAAGTTGGTTCTCTACAGGCCCCATAGTCGTCATCCTCAACATTCCAAAATAAATAATTTACAAATCACCTCTAGTAACCCTCTACTCCTCATCGCTTCCTCCATGTCTTCCCTCTTAGACCCCTGCAGTGGTGTCAGTGGCGCTGCCCTCTGAGCTGCAAACACCAGTCACCCAGTTCTGCCTGGAGCAGCACTCGCACGGGGGGGCCAACCGCCATGTGTGGGCCGTGGACTTTATGCAGCTGCTGCCTGTGCTGCCTGGCACACACACGCACGTTGTTCAGTTCTCCATCAACCTCGGCTGCGGCTCCTACCAGCCCGCCAACAGGTGGGGCCCATCTGGAAAACAAGCTCAAACAGTGTTTTTACACCAAGTACAACCTAAAAAAAAAAAAAAAAGAGTACACCATTATGTCCAACATCAAAATAGAGTTGCAAATTAGGATGACGGGATGTGTTAATCACAAATAAGGCAGAGGTTTTACTACTTACAAATATATTTGAGATTTTTTTAAACCCACCGTAACATTATGCGCAGTTTAAACGTTTAAGATGTGCTTAGACATGGGACATAAATAACTTTCAAATGTATCGTACATAAATGTTAAAAACAATTCTTAAAGATTAAATACAAATGCAGTGAACTTAAAAGTTAAATACAGCTGGACTGTACTTTAGTAGTTGTTTTTTTGCATATCACTTGAGGGAGGGAAATGGAAATAAATGTAACCGCAGTCATTTGTATCTTTTTTTTTAAGATGTTGACTCCAGTGATCCAACCGTTTCTTTAGTTTAATAAATCACGCTTTAGCAGCATGTTCAGTGTGATTTGCAATTAAAAAAAAAATTACCTGGTTAGAAATTATCTAATTGTTGTTAAATTGAGACATAAATGGAATATTGTGGAGACACACAGTATATGTCAATCATCGTGGCATAACTACAAATATGGTTCCTACTGTTTCAACCCCAAGCAAACTAAAAAAAAAAAAAAAAGAGTACACCATTATGTCCAACATCAAAATAGAGTTGCAAATTAGGATGACGGGATGTGTTAATCACAAATAAGGCAGAGGTTTTACTACTTACAAATATATTTGAGATTTTTTTAAACCCACCGTAACATTATGCGCAGTTTAAACGTTTAAGATGTGCTTAGACATGGGACATAAATAACTTTCAAATGTATCGTACATAAATGTTAAAAACAATTCTTAAAGATTAAATACAAATGCAGTGAACTTAAAAGTTAAATACAGCTGGACTGTACTTTAGTAGTTGTTTTTTTGCATATCACTTGAGGGAGGGAAATGGAAATAAATGTAACCGCAGTCATTTGTATCTTTTTTTTTAAGATGTTGACTCCAGTGATCCAACCGTTTCTTTAGTTTAATAAATCACGCTTTAGCAGCATGTTCAGTGTGATTTGCAATTAAAAAAAAAATTACCTGGTTAGAAATTATCTAATTGTTGTTAAATTGAGACATAAATGGAATATTGTGGAGACACACAGTATATGTCAATCATCGTGGCATAACTACAAATATGGTTCCTACTGTTTCAGTGTCAGTCTAGAGTTTTCCACAAATCATGGTCGTTCCTGGTCTCTGCTCCACACTGAGTGTCTACCGGAGCTTTGTGCAGGACCCCACCTACCTCACAGCACCATCTACTCCTCTGACAACTACAGCGGGTAGGACTCACCACCCAGTTGAAAGAGTGAAAACTCCACATACAGTGAGAAAACGCGTCACCTCGAACCTTGTTTTTCATTTCGGCAGATGGACGAGGATTTCTATCCCTCTGCCCAATGCTGCCCTGACAGAGACCACACGCTTTCGCTGGAAACAGTCTGGCACCGGATTGGGAAACATGTGGGCCATTGACAACGGTCAGAATTAAATGCACTATTTATTGTTTCCCACGAGTGGTGAAATAACCATACGATAAGCTTTTCGATTTCCTTTAATGACTACAGTCAAGACACATTCATTCATGTCTTGCGACACAAACGAGTGTCGTAAAACACCTTTCAATTTCCATGTGTGTTCTTCAGTTTATATTGGTCCAGCCTGTCTGCGCTTCTGCTCTGGGAGAGGACATTGTTCCCGCACAGGCTGCAAGTAAGACCTTCTTGCTGTCTAGACGACAAAATGTAGCATCCCATTACCGACATCAAGCTTTGTATCACCATTTAGAGTTATATAAATGTATTATCTTGATCAATTAGTCTTCATTGATTGAACTTGTTTCTACTCAGATGTGACCCAGGTTTCAGTGGTCCAGCCTGTGAGCTCGCCTCCCAGACTTTCCCAGCCTTCCTGTCCGAGGGTTTCTCCAGCCCACGCCTTTCCTCATACCACAGCTTCTCCTCCCTCCGCGGAGCGGAGGTCAGCTTCGGCTGCGGGGTTCTGGCAAGCGGCAAGGCGTTGGTCTTCAACAGGGACAGCAGGAGACACCTAGTCACTGCACCGCTGGATAGCTCTCAGGCCAGGTAACTGATCAATCGGCTCTCAGTATTGCGCAGGCCTCCTCCAAGGAGGAACAATTCTACTTCACGAGCACTATCGGACACCTAATTTCTCGGGTGTTTTCACTTGTGATTGATCCAACAGATGCTCGAGCCATTCGGCATCCACTCTCCCGTCACGCCCTCTTTCAGTCATATTTATTGTGCTCAGTGGGGGATGGAGAGAAAGATTGTGATTATAGGATGGACTACAGATGAGAGAGCTGGCAGGAGAGGATGAGAGAAAACGTTTGATCATGATGAAGTCAGAAATGGCATCTGTGTTAGATTGATTATGCCTGTTGCGGCTCTCTTGCGTGCCACCTGATGGCCGTTTTTAATGCCAATTTTGTGACTCACCGAGTAAGCAGCTGGCTAAAAGAACAATCAACTCTGCTAATGAAAGTCCAGATCAGCCAAGGACAGAGAGGTGAAGGATTGCTCTGTTGGCTTTCGAGTGAAGATTAGATATTATAGTAAATATTACCTCATTGCATGATTATTATCTCTGCTCAAATGGGAACTTGAGCCTCACATAAATATTCACACTAACCGAGGGTGCACTCATGTGAACTTTCTCACTTTAGACTCTTCCATTTGCCTTCACTATAGCTCCTTTAATTTAAGTCCTCATTTATTTAATCATCTCATCCATCATTTCGATGCCCCACACAATCTCTGACTTGCTGTTTCTGTAACCTCCTCCTCCCTGAGCACACTCCATCTTCAACACCTTTTTTCCTTTCCTGCCATTTATCAACTTGACTTTGTCACTATTTGTGAATTTTTCCTTCAAGTGTTGCATGTGCGTGTGCTCTCATCTGTACAGATACCTCCAGTTCACCCTCCGACTCGGCAGCCGAAGTACCCTGAGCTCCTGCCCAGCTCCAGACCAGGCAGGAGAGGGTGTCCTGTTGCATTACTCCACAGACAACGGCATAACCTGGACTCTGTTGCAGCACTACGCTTACCAAGGATTCCATGAGCCAAGGTTTGTGTGTGTTTAGCATCTCAGTGGGAAGCAAAGACTTTATTAGCACTCATATCCGCAGCACTGATGGTGTGCCGACTGTGTGGGCTACCGGGACTCATTGAGGCAGTTAGTGCCATCTATGTTTGCAATGAAGACAAAATAGGGCACTGAAACGGCCAGACAGGGGCAAGTGTGTCTAACTGATGTGTGTAGTGGAAACAAACAGGCAAGTTGAGGCTCTTACTGCAAGATAAAAACAGCAAATTTAAGAACCATGAACCCCAAATATATGTGGAATTTGTATGGCTCCTTGTGAACTGTGTCATTGGTATTCCTTACATGAGTGTTATCACAATGGCTCAGTCCCTAGAAGAGCAAGAAAATATTGAGAATTACAACACACTATTTTTCCCTCTCCTAGGATCGTGTCTGTCGAGCTCCCAGCTGGTGCTCGAAAGTTCGGTGTGCAGTTCCGCTGGTGGCAGCCTTACCATTCTGGCCGCGGTCACGATGTCTGGGCGCTGGATGAAATCAGCATGACGTCCGTGCTGTTCAACACCATAAGTCTGGATTTCAGCAACGTGTTGGATGTTACACAGAGTCTTGGTTTTTACCTTGGTCATGTCCAGCCCTACTGCCACCATGATTGGACGCTCAGGTAGGTCGGGAGTTTTCCTGAGATCATCTTGTAACCAGTCAGCCCCCACCCCAAAAAAGGCTGATGAAAGTTATCTGCTTTCTTTCATGTTGTCCTCCAGTTTCTCTGGTGAGCCCAGCCCTGGTTCCAGTAATCGCTATGTGGAGACTCAGTCAATGCAGATTGGTGCCTCCTACAGTCTGCAGTTCTCGCTGGTTATGGGCTGCGGTCGCGAGTCGTCCCCTCACATTGACACTCAGGTCCGCCTGGAGTTCTCCACCAATCACGGCCTCACTTGGCACTTGGTCAAAGAGGTAAAAAGGAGGAGTTGTGTCCACCCTCCGTGTCATGACATTTCAGTAAATTGTTCGTTTTCAGAATTGTTACTGTTTAAAATGGTATCGGAAGTTGTAGTTCTTCATTTACCTGACTCCCCGTGACCCTGAACAGGATCAGCGGGATAGAAAATGGATGGATGGGCTTTGTTAAAGCCTATAGCAGTATCTTCGAGGAGCAAGGAAATATTTAATGTATTCATGATAATGGGTTTCTCTCATAAAGCCCCTTAACATTGTTTAGATAATGACATGCTTAAGATGCAGTGCTTTGTGTCATCAAGAAATGATAGCAATGACTTTTAATCACTCTGCTTTGAGCAAATACATAGGAAGACTAATCTTTCGGAAGCTTATCTTCTTACAATGCAGACAGATATTTTTGTATGATCACAATTGATTCATAAATATTCTACAAGTTAAAAATGTGCTGAGTTTTTTTTTTTTTTTTTGTGTGTGTATTGAACCGGTGTCCCAGGCAAATATTTAACTTGTAGTTTGATTGCTACACAGCAGTTAAAATGAACCAAAATGCAGAGAACAATTGATCTTGACGGTGCTGTCTCTTAAGAATAGTTGTGTCCTCTCTTCTGATCTCTTGTTCTCCATCACTTAGGCTTGTCTGCCTGGCATGCCAAGCTGCTCTGAGTTTACGGCTCCCAGCGTGTACCACCCATCAGAGTTCACAAAATGGAGACGCATTACTCTGTCTCTGCCTCAGAAGACATGGTAACAGAACTTTGTGCGAAGGTCACACACTACTAATAATAATAGTAGAAGTAGTTGAAGGAGCAGTTCTTTCTGCTTAAGCTTTGGAGTCTATATTTCCTAGAAAATATCCCTAAATTCCCATTTGTATTTATCCCACTTTACTCTTCATTCACTTCTTTTATAATCAATATTGGTAAATAAACCAAAGAATTAGTTGATTACGACAGTCGCATTTTCAATAATGATGTGACCAAAATATGATTAAAGCAACAAATCATTTCATGGCATTCAAAAAGATGAAATATTTAACTACAACAAAACTTAAAAGTATCTGCTCGGAATTTTAACACAGGAATCCTGTGCTTTAAATCCTGACAATAATTTCAGGGTTATGTTGCCACACCAACAAGGTTATTTTTATACGTTGACCTAGCAAAGCGTGCCACTTGTTTTTACCAGAACTCAGTATCTCGCCTTTTTTTGTTTCATTGGTCACATCTCCTTTGTATGATGTCACACTAAATGCTATTATCTTCTTTTGTCATACTTTTTTGTTATAATCAGTATTCTGTTCACAAATTCGGCTTTGGGGACTTTCAGCTTGTCCCATAAGGGCGACTCACTCAATTGGAGTTTAAAAAAAACAAAAAACGAATCAGAATACATTTGTAGGTGTTATTAACATGAAACGAGAGCCTCCTTTGACCCTGTATATAACATAGCCCACAAAGCATTCCATTTTTCTACAGTTGACATTGCCAAACGCATTGGCATTATGAACCTGTCATCTCTCCCGACATATGATGATTGCCTGCGCCATCAGCCATAGGTTCCACGTACATCAACACACATAAAGCAGGACACAGATCACTCTGACCTTCAGACCATTCTTACTTCTTACTTATAGAGAAGCATCCTCTAATCTCCTGCAGTGTGGTGACAGGTCAACCGGGTCATGGCTGTGATTTGGTAATAAAACAGTCGTGGTCAGGAGTGGGTCCGGGGTGATTTTCGGGTCATTTGTCACGGTTGTGCAGCTGCACAAGCAAGCGCAATATTTATCCCTCACTATCAAGGTTGTCTACATGTGATCATGTTCTGCCGTAAAGATCAATTCCATGAAAACATGTTGACGTACTTGACATCAAAGACAGTTTCTATCGCAAATTCTAAATTTTTGAGCCATGTGAAGCATGTGTTTGTACCATCTGTGTTCAGGTCCAGTGCCACACGCTTCCGATGGATCCAAAACTACTACGGGGAGCAGGACGAGTGGGCCTTAGATGACATTTATATTGGCCAACAATGTCCGAACATGTGCCACGGACACGGCTGGTGTGACCACGGACACTGCAGGTCAGCATTCGAGGTCACCGAAATTGAGATGAGTTGGACTTGTTTGTATTTTTGATACAAATGAAGCGCTTCTTTGGCAGGTGTGACGACAGCTTCTCTGGTACAGACTGCTTGCCATCCTCCCCGCTCTCGTCCAGTGTCCTCTCAGACTTCGAGTCCCAGGATGCACTGCTGGCCACTTGGCAGGAAGTGATAGGCGGAGAGGTGGTCAACCCTGATGTCGGCTGCGGGGTGGTTTCATCTGGTTCCTCCCTGTACTTCAGCAAGGTAGAGAATAGCCTAAGCTTATTTTTGACCACTTCCAAATACTTAATTTGGTTTTAAAAAAATAATTATTATTAAATACGTACTGGAGCTTATGTAGAAGTAGTTGGATGTTTGGAATACAGTACCAACATATCCCTCCGTTCCTCTTTTGTTCTTTCAAAGAGACGCTATTTGTAATCTTGAGAATGCAATTGAATTTCGATGGCCACTCACTTCCCCGCCAAAATTTAAAAATGCATAATATTTCTGGTTTAAATGTTCCGTGGTTACAAATAATCATCTGACATGGTAAATTTTTGTGTGACATCAGGCTGGCCTGCGGCAGCTCGTGAGTTGGGACCTGGACACGGAATGGGCGGAGTTCGTGCAGTTCTACCTGCGTGTGGGTGGAGACTGGGCAGATTGCAACCAGGCTGACAGCAGGGAAGAGGGAGTATTGCTGCAGTATAGCAATGATGGAGGCATCAGCTGGGGCCTCATTGCCGAGATGTACTTCACAGACTTTACCAAGCCTCGGTGAGATCAGCAGCGCTTATGTTTAACACAACTGGTCATTTCAAACCAATAATTTTAATCTTTTCCTGAACAGTTTTGTCCACTATGAGCTTCCTTTGGCCTCAAAGACACCCTGCACTAGATTTCGCTGGTGGCAGCCTCTTCACTCTGGGGAGGGCTATGACCAGTGGGCAATAGATGATGTCATCATTTTATCTGAGAGGGAGAAGCACATCATCCCCATAGCCAGTCCTACTTTGCCACAGGTGCATTACTGCATTTGTATAAAAAAGGAGTGGATTTATTCAATCAAGTCTGTAACATAAAACGTGGAAAAAATGAAGTGTTGGGAATGCTTTCATTACATGCCATGTTTCCACTGACAACTAAACCCCTTCTGTTAGAACTTCTATGAGAAGCCGGCTTTCGACTACCCGCTGAACCAGATGAGTGTGTGGCTGATGCTGGGTAACGAAGGCATGGAGAGGGACAGCAACAGCAGCTTCTGTGCTCCGACCGCATCTTCCATGGTGTTCGGGCGCTCCGATGGGGACAGGGTGGCGGTCACCAGGGACCTTGCCCTGCGCCCTGGCTACACCCTCCAGTTTAAGGTGAAAACTCAGAAAGTAAACCTACCCACAGTCCAAGACCACCTTACCAAGACTGATTTGTTTGTACAATGTTGTTAACTGTTAATCATTCATTTTGTTTCCCCCCTACTAGTTAAACATAGGTTGTGAGCCAGAATTCAGTGCGTCTGCCCCCATCCTGCTGCAGTACTCCCATGATGCAGGTCGCACTTGGGCTTTGGTAAAGGAGGGTTGTTACCCTGGATCCCCGGGAGCAGGCAACTGTGAAGGCAGTGGGCGGGAGCTTCGAGAACCCACCGTGTACAACACCGGGGACTATGAAGAGTGGACCAGGGTCACTGTGGTCATTCCACGCAACGTTGCAGCCAGGTAGCTATGGTAACAGCCACCCAGTGGGATCTCTTGTAGGCGTGCCCTATGTATGGCCCCAAGGAGGTGTTACATTGTCAAGTGTCCTGTAATGTTTTTGCACAACTTTTTCCCCCTTACCTTTTAACAAGAACATTTGTTGAAAAATTAATAATTGCAAATAATGTAAAATATCAGAAAAGTAATCAATTTTACACATGCATTTGTATTGATTTAAATTACGTTGATTTGAAAAAATACAATTAGGGAAAGAGAATGAATAATAATGTATAATAACATCGACTATCTTCCAAAATGTACATTATACATCGAAACTGTTTTTTTTTTTTTCATCTTTGCCTGGCCCATTTGTTGTTTTATAAATCAAATGTGGCCCTTGAACCCAAACGTTTGGCTTACCCATGATCCATGGTGTAAAGGTAACTTTTCAAACATATACTACATTCACAGAAGCCTTGGTGTGCTCTTAATCAAGACAACGGAACAGTTTGAGGAAGGCCTTTTTGATCCAATCTGCACCTATCCCACCTCTACCATTTTCTATTTCATATAGTTTTGACAGACTTTATGCATATCGCTGTTACCTCTATGGATTTCTCTTATTCAGCGTTTCTTCCATTCCTCCAGTAAAACACGGTTCCGCTGGTTCCAGGAGAGCAGCATTTACAGAGATGCTCCAGCTTTTGCACTGGATGGAGTGTACATCTCTGAGCCATGTCCGAATCATTGTGGCGGACATGGCGATTGCATTTCCGGAGTCTGCTTCTGTGACATGGGATACACAGGTAAGGCGATTGATTGAGACAGCAAGTTGAAGTGTTTGTGTCTGTATGTAGTAAACCATAGTTCAATTTTTTCTTATTTTTTTTCTCCATAGTGGAACAAGACAGCTGTGTCCCATCCGTAGCAGGTCCCACTGAGCTGAGTGAGGGTTTTGAGGGCAAGCTAAGTCCACTTTGGCAGAGCCTAAGTGGAGGCCAAATAGGAGGTGGTTGTGGCATAATCAGTGAGGGCAAGGCACTTTACTTTAGCAGCCCTGGAAGGAGGGAGGCTCGCACAGTGCCCCTGGACACCACCAACACTCGGTGGGTGGATTCCACTCTTGTTCCTTCAGGTTTTTGAGTCAAGTCATTCCATGCGAGAGCGTGATTTCAAATCTTCTCATGTGAACAGGTTGGTGCAATTCTACATTCGAATAGGCAGTAAAAGTTTGGGACCCACTTGCACCAGGCCACGCTCACGCAATGAAGGTACATTGCTATAATCCCAGGACTCGACATTGTATTCATGAGAGACCTCATTTGGATTATTCTATCGTGATGCACTTTTTTCATTTATATTTGTCTTCAGGTGTCCTTGTGCAGTTTTCCACCAACAATGGCGTCCAGTGGCAATTCCTGCGGGAACTGGACTTCAGCTCTTTCTTGGAGCCTCAAGTGGTGACCATTGAATTGCCACCACATGCCAAATCCCCTTACACGGTGTTTCGGTGGTGGCAGCCCCAACAAGGTTAGTGCAATTGTTACAGTAATACTAAAACTACTCTCTTTTTTCTTTGATTTATTGTGGGTATTTTTTTTTTCCAGGGAAACACTCAGCCCAGTGGGCTCTGGATGATGTCCTAGTTGGTATGAACGACAGCTCCAGAACTGGTTTCCATGACAAGTTTGATGGCACCACACCTCTGAGGCACAACTGGTACCGCATTCAGGGTGGGGAGGTGACTGTGGACTGTTTGTCTCTGGACACGGCTTTGACCTTCAACTCCGAAGCCATCGATAGTGAGTCACACAAACAAACTCAAACCAACTTCCGCACATGCATTAAGAGGACTTTCCAATTCCATTTTCTATTTATACAGCAGAGGGAGAGAACAGTAGTGCAATGGCTTGAGAGCAACATAACTCACAACAGGCTGAAACCGAATCACCCATTTACTGTGGCGCCATGAATGGCGCATTATAAATGAGGGCAAACTTGATTGAACATCCTGCCTGTTTTTTTATGAGAGCACCAAGCTGTGAGCGCATTTACTTTCTGTAAATAATGCTTTCAAAGTGTACTTATTCTTCCCAAGTGCACAGCATGAGTTATTTGACAACATCTATACACACGAAGACCCTGGAAGTACCCAGGAAGCATTTGAATGTTACCTTTGTTGGCCGTTTCCTTAAGCATTTTTCCTTAAGCACTTGGTCTGACTTTTTGCTTTCTTTATTTACCTGAGTATAAAGATGGCCATAGAGATGTGTTCACCATTTGAACAAAAATCTTACACCAACAAGATATGGAAGGTGATGTTTCCATGCTTTGCAGAGAAGCCAAGGTATGCCGAGAGCTGGGACTTTGAGGTTTCGGGTTCTTCCTTCCTGCAGTTTGAGCTGAGTATGGGCTGCAGCAAGTCCACCTCCTTTTCCCACGGTGTGCGCCTGGAATACTCCACAGACTGTGGACGTCATTGGTCCCTGATTACCCCGGAGTGTGTTCCCCCAGCGATCGGTTGCGCTGCCTACACTCAGAGCTCCATCTATACGTCGACACAGTACAAACACTGGAGAAGGACAACTGTATACCTGCCAAGTGCTGCTAAGTATGCACTACACACAACCTCTTATTACAACTCCTTTTACATCAGTACAGTATATTTGTTAATACTGTATTCTGGCTCTTGGTACCTCAGTTCGCCAAGGACACGATTCCGTTGGATCCAAACCCATTTTACTCCAGGGGCCGAGGGTTGGGCTCTGGATAATGTGTTGCTTGCCCCCGGTTGCCCTTGGATGTGCTCTGGTCATGGTCTGTGTGACAATGGACGCTGTGTGTAAGTCAGACAAGAATGTTGAGTAAGATGTGTTCGCTCTATGTTGCTACATTTATGTTGAGACGTTCTCATCCTGTCTAAGGTGTGACAAAGGTTATGAGGGTGCACACTGTGTGCCCTCGGCGCCCCTCCCGTCTGTTTTGAGGGAAGACTTCAATGAGCACCTGCAGCAGGAGACCTGGCCTGAGGTTTATGGAGCTGAGAGGGGAACTCTGAGTGGGGATCCCCTTAAATCTGGAACCGCCCTCATCTTTAAAGGGGTACGCCTCTCTTCAAAGTCAGTTTCGCTATTTTACAGTCGAAAGGCTTTTCTCATCCGAAAATGTTTTCCCACTTTGCAGGATGGTCTACGTATGATAGTGTCAAGGGATCTGGATTGTACAAACACACTCTACATTCAGTTCTCCTTCAAGTTCATCACAAAAGGTATTTGATTGTTTTGTCCTCTTTGTTTCATGTTAATTCGTAATGTCGCTGTTTTTTTGTGTAGGTGTACCTGAGCGCTCCCACTCAGTGCTGCTGCAGTACTCGGTGAATGGGGGTATCAGCTGGCTACTGTTGGACGAATTTTATTTCCCAGCTTCCACGGACACTCTGTTCCTCCACCTGCCGCTGCCCGCCAGCGCTCAGACCAATGCCACCCGCTTCAGACTCTGGCAGCCTTACAACAGTGGTGAAAATTTCATGTCGAAATTCATTCAATATTTTCAAATATTATAGCTATATGTGTACAAAATGCCTGAGAAAGACCTGAGGGTTAATTTGTTTCATGTTTAATAATAACATCTTTCCTTGTCCATCAGGTAAGAAGGAGGAGGTGTATATATGTGTACAAAATGCCTGAGAAAGACATGAGGGTAAATTTGTTTCATGTTTAATAATAATGTCTTTCCTTGTCCATCAGGTAAGAAGGAGGAGGTGTGGGTGATAGATGATCTAAGCATTGATGGTAGCTCCCTGCATAACCCCGTAGTGGTTAGAGACAGCTTTGAAGAAGGCCCGAATGAGTCCAACTGGCTATTCTACCCAGGGGGCAACACCGGCCTCTACTGCCCCTACCAGAAGACCGGCTTGTAAGAAAAGTGTTTCACTTTGAATGTTTCCAAAGACAAAGTCTCATTTTGCATATTCCTGTTTCAGTAATCAGTGAACCCAAGGGTGATATGATCTCCAAAATGGATGTTTTTAACCTTGACTAATCATTTGGTTTGTGTGTCTCTGTTGCAGAGAAGAGGATGAGTCAGCTATGGTGTTTGTCTCCAGCGAGCTGGGGGAGCACTCCATCACCACCAGGGACATTGACGTGAATGAGAACACAATCATCCAATTTGAGGTACACAAACAGTCTTGATGACTTCTTTCCCCAAAGTAACAATCAGCACACTCATTGAAGGCATGAATCACGGTGGGCAATCCGGGCTGATGTCTTGTTTTCCCCACAGATAAATGTCGGCTGCACGGCTGAAAGCTCTTCGGCCCATCCGGTGCGACTTGAGTTCTCCAGGGACTTCGGAGCAACATGGCACCTTTTGGTGCCGCTTTGTGCAGGTGGGCCACAGCCATCTTCGCTGTGCTCCACCGAGCTCCACCCGGCCAGTGTTTATTTCCCGGGCACCACACAGGGGTGGAGGCGAGAGGTCATCCACTTTGGCAAGCTGCGTCTCTGCGGGTGAGCACCAGCGCATCCTCACCAGCTACGCTTCTCTCACGGTCTCTTTTTTATACCTGTATCCCCTTCCCATCTATTTGTCCCTGTACTTTGTCCCTACAGGTCTGTGAGGTTCCGTTGGTATCAGGGCTTCTTTTCAACTGGGTCCGCTCCTCCTACATGGGCTCTAGACAATGTCTATATTGGCCCTCAGTGTCAGGACATGTGCAGTGGCCATGGAGCTTGTGTAGGGGGCACACATTGTATGTGTGACCCCGGCTACTCTGGAAGCGACTGCTCTGTGCCAGATATTCCCAACCCCGACTTCCTCAAAGAAGACTTTGAAGGTACAATGCGGAATAGCAACAGTATCTCAGGAGTTGTGTTGTAATTATGTCACATTAAAAAAATGTGTTTGTATTTAGACGGAGCAGTGGATATTGACCTTTTTAAACAGCTGAGTGGTGGCAAACCATCCAGAAAATGTGGTATCATGTCCAGTGGGAACCATCTGTTCTTCAGTGAAGATGGGCTGCGTATGTTGGTCACCAATGAATTGGACTTGTCGAATGCCAGGTATTGTTAGCATTGTCTGACAATATCGCCATTTTGTTACTTGGAGTTCGATGTGCTGAAATTGGAAGGACTGTAATCATGATTTTCAATGGCACCAGGTTTGTTCAGTTCTTCCTCCGTCTCGGCTGCGGGAAGGCGGCACCGGACCCTCGCTCTCAGCCAGTTCTGCTGCAGTACTCCCTGAATGGAGGTCTCACGTGGGGTCTCCTCCAGGAATTTCTCTTCAGTAACAGCAGTAACCAGGCTCGCCTGGTGGCCCTGGAGATCCCACTGCGCGCTCGCACCTCTTCCACTCGCCTGCGCTGGTGGCAGCCCTCTGAGAGCGGACAGTTTTATAGTCCATGGGTGATCGATCAGGTACTGTGAGGCAAGAGGAGGACCATCAATGACTGTGCCTCAATCAACCAAACACAACGTTACATTTCATGTATTTAACTTTCTACAAATTTCAGGTGGTGGTTGGTGGTAGTGCCAGCGGCTGGGGACCACTGGAAGATGATTTCTCCTCTATCGATACACGCTCATGGCTCCTCCACCCAGGAGGAACCAGAATGCCAGTTTGTGGCTCGGATGGACCCGCTTTTGCTTTCATAGAGAAGTCCAACACTCGCTACGCAGTCACCACTGACATCAGTTTGGGACAGGATGCCTTCATCCAGTTTGACTTTTCTGCATCCTGTTCTGTAACCAACTCCTGCTACTGTAAGCAATAAGACGATTTGAAGATTTGAATATTCTTTGCCTGAAAAAGTAAGCCTCAACAGTTGTTGCTGTTTCTTGTATGTCTTTTTAGCTGTGGAGCTGGAGTACTCTCTGGATTTAGGTCTGACGTGGCAACCTGTTGTCAGAGATTGTTTACCGACAAGCCCTGACTGCTCCTCCTACACCTTGCAAAGGCTGCTCGTTTCTGATACATACAACAAATGGGGTCGGGTGACTTTACATGTCCCATCATATGCAAGGTCAGCGCTGCTCCTTTCGAGTGTACAGTACGATAATGCCACAAATTGCAAAAAAAAAAAATTGGACTATTGAAACTGCAAAATCTTCTTTGGAACTTTTTCTTGTATTTGAATCTGCAAAGTATGCTTGTCCTGCATCACTTGCCGTAGCCCATGCGGGTATGTAGGAATGTAGCATTGGTTGAGAGAACAGTCGGTCATGGAAGCTAAGTGAGGCCGGCAGAGCGCCAAAACAAAAGAATCTCCAAGAAAGCGACTTTATTTAACGTAACGCAGAACATTCGACTTTTTACTGCAGTAGGAGCCGAAGATGGCCATCTTCTCCTTGTAATCTGTCGGATGTTGCTGCGCCATGGTCGTCCTTGCAGGATGGATAGATGGCGCCGTTTCATAAAACAAAAGCACCAAGCACCATAGATTAGTTGATCTTGAATTCTCTCGCGGCTGCTTGATTCCTACAGTCCTCCGCGTAACTGATAGCTTGCAGTTAAAACTGTGCTTCGTAAGAGTGTCTTTTCGTAGGTGCTATTTTCGGGATGTTGTTTTGCACAATGCACATACTAGCACCTACTGGAGGCATGCCTTTGCATCCTCTTTCACGCCCGCCCTTATGTTTATAGGTCTCCAGCAACAAGATTCCGTTGGTTCCAGCAGGCTCCATTTGACAAGCAGCAGACCTGGGCTCTGGATAACCTCTATATTGGAGATGGCTGTCCAGATATGTGTTCTGGACACGGAAGGTGTCAACAGAGCACCTGTGTGTAAGTAACACACACCAGTGTTTCTTAGGATGGATTTACATTGCATGGTTTAAGTGGCACAATTCAAATATTCTTCATTATCAAAACTAATGACAATATATCGGGGGGGAAACAAATGCATGGAATCGGATATCTTCAGATCGTTATCAGGCCTCTCCTAAATGTGAATAAAAATCTGATATGTATCCAATGGAAAGGCAGTGTAAACACAGATTAGCTTGACACCAATCTGAACATGACGTCATGAAAATACACCGATTGGTGATGTATACACAACCGTGTCTGCCCAAACAACACAAATAGAAACATTAAAAGTATGTGCACCCTTGGCTGAGTCAATTAAATATGCTCTAAATCTTGGACCATCCATTTTCTGAGCAGGCTTTATCCACACCAGGGTCTGCTGAAGCCTATCACAGTAGTAGGCAGGTTACACGATGAATTGGTTGCTAGCCAATCACAGGGTAGGGCACACAAAGTCAAACAACCATTCGCACTCATAATCACACCGAGGGACAATCGAGTGTTCAAGTAACCGACGATGCATGTTTTGGGGATGTGGGAGGAAATCAGAGTACCTTTTTGAGAGGGGAAGTACAAATGAATAACTCAAAAAATATGCTCAAGTGTGCATGCCCTCCTACAACTGGGATATGGCTGTGTTCGGGATTACCCAATGCACACAATAGCCACAAGTACCCATGGCTAACCCCAGATAAATTTCAGATGTTCTAGTAGGCTTTTGCTAACATTTGATTTGCTTTGTAGCAGAAGCCTCAAAGTTCTGTATTAACACTGACTTCTTTTTCAAACGGTGTATAATTCACTCTGTCTTGATGAATCACATGTGGTATCCACATCAGGTGTGATCCAGAGTGGGGTGGTGACTACTGTGATGAGCCGGTCGCTAAGCTCCCCTCCCAGCTGAAGGACAGCTTCAGTCGGGCTCCTTCTCTTGGTCACTGGCACATACTCACTGGTGGGAAACTCAGCACCGTGTGTGGAGCTGTGGCATCTGGAGCCGCTCTGCACTTTAGTGGTGTAAGTATTTTCTGTCTCTGTTATGGTTTTCTTCATTTAGCATCAATATTGTTTGTTGTGTGCCTCTACAGAGTTGCAGTCGTCAGTTGGTGACAATGGACCTCAACCTAACCAACGCCGAATTCATCCAATTCTACTTCATGTATGGCTGTATGATCCCGCCTAGCAACCGTAACCAGGGGGTGCTCCTGGAGTACAGCTTGAATGGAGGAATCCACTGGCATCTGCTGACAGAGATTTTCTATGATCTGTACACAAAGCCAGGGTGAGTGCCTTTACAGCAAGTGATTTCGATGAATGGAGCTGCAGGAACCATGTTTAGCAAGTTGGTACTTTGTTTTAAAAGTCAGTATTTTACATTATGTGTTCAGGTTTGTGAATGTTCTGCTGCCTCCTACTGCCCGACAAGAAGGTGTGCGCGTGCGCTGGTGGCAGCCGCAGCACGACGGAGTGGACCAGAGTGACTGGGCTCTTGATAACGTCCTCATCGCGGGTTCAGACATGCGGGCACAGATTTCCGACACATTCGGCGGTGTGGCACTGCCAAACCATGAGAGAGCTCCTGCTGATGAAACCTCAGAACCAAACAGTGACCTGGGCGAGCTCGAGGAAACTCCAATCGGTACAGTGCAGTTGGTTGAATAACTCAATCAAAGCTTCATTCTAACAAGAAAAGACAATGTCAGCATGTTGCTTTGCTTTGTTGGCAGTGAGTGACCATTGGTTGTTCTCCGAGGACTGCTCAGTGCAGCGTTTCTGCAGCTCCCCCGATGGCGTGATGGCGTGCGGCAATGCTGATGGAAGAGAGGTTTACGCTGTCACGCATGATATAATCCCTGAAAAGGGTTGGGTCATGCAGTTCAAGGTGATTCGTGAGCAAAGAATACACACGCTTACTTTGCGGCAGGGCCTGGCACACTTCTGTGTACCTTTATGTAAAATAGATTATTTAAAAAAAAAACTTGCACTCCCTTTTATTAGTATGATTATAATTTGATTATCATTTCATTGTAATCAATTAACAAAAATAAGATAAGTTGAAACCTCATTAATAAAATAAGAAGAATGAATGTCAAATTGTGGACGACACCCCTGCTTATTTGCACTAAATATATTAAATAAATAGACAGTCATGGAATGTATATTTAAAATATTTATTTTTGTGTATTTATAATATTCTTTGCAATAAATCAAGTAACCTGTTCATACTTTAATGCAACAAATATCTTTGTTGGGCCGAATTAAAGACTGAAGTGGGTCATTTATGGCCCGCAACCCATGCTTAGTTACCAAATACTTCAATATCACCAAAATGAGGAAAAATTCTGGCGGCCCGATGATCCAGTGGTCAGCGCATCGGCCTCACAGTGAAGTGATACCGGGTTCAATTCCATCCCTGTGTGCAGTTTGTATGTCCTTCCCTGCGTGGGTTTTCGCTGGGTACTCCAGTTTCCTCCCACATTCCAAAAACATGCATGGCAGGCTGATTGAACACTCTAAATTGTCCCTAGGTGTGAGTGTGAGCGTGGATGGTTGTTCGTCTGTGTGTGCCCTGCAATTGGCTGGCAACTGGTTTAGGGTGTCCCCCGCCTACTGCCCGAGGACAGCTGGGATAGGCTCTCGCACCCCCTGCGACCCTTGTGAGGATAAGCGGATTGGAAAATTGATGGATGGATGGGAAAAATTCTCAATATATTTTACAAATGTTCAAATATCCTTCGTCCCTAGCGCTGTTCAGAGGTACATGGTTTAAATTTCAGCTCTGGCCTTCCTGCACATTCGGGTAATTGACTTGAAATTTTCCATAGCTGCGAATGTGAGTGTCAATATTTGCCGTGCAATTCACTAGCCACCAGTGCAGGGTGTACCCAACCTTTCACCCGAAGTCAGCTGAGGTAGGCACTGGCTCAAACCATGACGCTAATGACAACAAGCACCATAGAAAATGGATGGATATCATTTCCTTGTGCAGGTGTACCAAATAGTATAGATGCTCTGTGCATTTTCACTTCCCTGCACCAATCACTAATGTTGCGGCAACAAAATTTCAAACTTGTGTCCTATAGATTGCGGTCGGCTGCGTGGTTCCAGATCGTGCTGCGGACAGACAGGTCCACGTTCAGTACTCTGCAGACTACGGTGTGACGTGGAAATACCTGGTTCCCCAGTGTTTGCCCGCCGATCCTCGTTGCGGAGGACACGTTTCGCAGCCGTCGGTCTTCTTCCCCGCAGAGGGATGGAAGCGGGCTATCTATCCCCTGCCCGACGGCCTCGCTGGCACGTAGGTCAACACATTTCTAAACATGTGGCGCTCTTAATATTTCATTCGCCGTCACGCATGAGCTACATTATTGATAGATCTATTTATTGTTACAACATCAATGATTTAAACTTTTGTCATCTAAATCTTGGAAAAGGCAGATGCATGTTCAGCTAAACTTTTTACATGACCCAAAGGATTCAGCCTGCTTCTCCTGTCCTTTAGTTCAGTGCGCTTCAGGTTCTACCAGCAGCACTCAGACGTTCAGTGGGGTGTGGAGAACTTTTATATCGGGCCAGCGTGTGAGAGCCATTGTGGCGGACATGGCGACTGTTTGGATCAGCGTTGCCTCTGTGACCCAGGATTCACCGGACCAAATTGTTATGCCAGTGCAGCGCTGAAGGTAGCATCTTGCTTTTGAGATTCATTACATTCAAACTATTGCGTCTTTTCCACCTAACAAAATAAGAACATTCTGTTCATCTGAAAATGCTGGCTTTCAAGTGGATGCCAACAGCGAGTAGCAGTGCACTATAATCCCAAACCGTAAAGCCATGCTAGAAATCAGATGGACGGAAAAAAAAATCCTCACACAATGACACAATAGCTAATAATAAAACGGTGAAAGGTAGAGTTCACACTTGAAGACACGTTTGCTTGAGTATACAGGTGCATCTCAGTCGACAAGAATATAGTGGAAGTCAGTTGTCATTTATTTTGGTAGTTCATTTCAAAAGGTTTAATGATGTGACATACAGACAGCCTGAAATATTTCATGATTAGGTTTTTTTTTGTAATTCTGATGATGAGAGTTTAAAGAAACCCTAAAATCATCATCTCAAGGGATTACAACATTACATTAAAAACAGTCTCAATTATTTTTAATAAAGAATTTAGACAGAAATTGGCTTTCTGAAGAGTATTTTCCTGTGCGTTTAAGATACCGTAATATGAGTTTCACATGTCACGTAGAACTGGACACCGGTTCACAAAAACATATAAACAGGCCAGGATTGACTATGATCTGGAGTTTTCCAAAAAGTGTGGACTATGCAAAAACAAGAAGATATGTGATGAAAACATTTTCAGGAATACTGCTTTTTAAGCAATCTTTTCCCCTGTAGGCATCTTTGAAGGAACGTTTTGACTGGGAAGGAGCGGCCGGGCCTCAGTGGCACGTTCTTGAGGGAGGTCGACCCTGCACAGACTGTGGTGTGTTGGTAGAGGGTACAGCCCTGTATTTTGGAGGAGCTGATGCCAGACAAGCTATTACCACTGACCTGGACCTTCGGGGAGCTAAGTCAGTATTTGGTCATTTTTCACAACAAGTTGCACACAACACAAGAAGTTGCAACTTTATTTGTTTCTGACAACAGCACAAGCTTCACAACATGTCCTAATATGCTATTTTTCCGCTTAATTTCACATTCCACGCACACACCTCGACTCTGCCCTCATCGACATTGACCACACGCCTAAAGGTTTAAATTGTCACGATCTGTTTTGTGGCCAAAGGTTTGTGGAGTACTGGGCCAGGATTGGAAGTGAAAATAACATGTCCATGTGCCACCGTCCAACATGTCGAAAAGAAGGAGTGCTGTTGGACTACTCTACCGATGGAGGTGCGCTTTAAAACATGTGATATCGCTGTCACCTTTTTGCCTCCCGCTCAGCAAATCTGTCCCTATGCTCCTCAGGTGTGTCGTGGATCCTACTGCATGAGATGGACTATCTCAAATACGTGTCTGTGAGGAGAGATTACATCGTCCTGCCAGAGGGAGCCCTGACCAACGCCACTCGCCTACGTTGGTGGCAACCTTTTACTGTTTACTCTGGCTTGGCCTCTCCCAGCCTGGAACGAGCCCAGTGGGCCATAGACAACATCCTAGTAGGCGGGTCAGACATCAATCCGTCAAGCCTGCTTGACACCTTTGATGATGGTAAGCATATGACAAACGAAAAGCGTATTGGTCAAGAGGTAAGCAAACCCCTTTATGTTTTGTCTTGTTTTCCAGAAGGTGTATCTCACGAGGAAAGTTGGAGCTTCTACCCGAATGCCGTGCGAACTGCGGGCTTTTGTGGAAACCCCTCGTTTCACCTTTACTGGCCCAACAAGAACCAAGACCGGACACATAACATCCTCGCCACTCGAGAACTTATAGTGCAGCCTGGCTACATTTTACAGTTCATGGTATTAGAGCGATTTTACATTTCTATCAGCAACTCTTATCTGTATGTTGCGTTCGTTTGATGTTGATCGTCTGACTATTTTAGATAGTAGTTGGCTGTGAGGCAGACACATGTCAGGACCATCATTCTGTCCTGCTGCAGTACAGGAAAGATGCAAGGTAGATCCTGCTTCATCGCAATGACCATGTTTGATATGGAATTGAACATTTGTCACCTTACTCTTTCAGGTCTGACTCGTGGCAGTTGGTACAGTCTGAGTGCCTCCCCTCGTCAGTCAACAACGTGGGCTGCTCTCCCTTCCAGTTCCACGAGTCCACCATCTTCAGTCCTGTCAACAGCTCAACATGGACCAGGGTCACCGTTCAACTGCCTGACCACGTCTCTTCAGGGTAGCACTGGGCAATTGATTCCACTCAACAAAATGGCTGCAAACAGAGAGGAGCTACAGTAGTGCATAAAAACACAAGTCAATATTGTCCCAAAATGGAAAAAAGTAAAGCTTGTTTTGAATAATGTCATAGTCCTAATCTGTAAATAATATTACAAATCAGGTTTTTCTGGAACAAATGAGATTTTATTTCGAAGCCATGCCATGCAGCCATACTTCACTTTTGTGTGTTGCATTTGTATTTTAACACGTCAACAATGTAGTTTTGCGTGCCCTTTGTGGTGTGTTGTCCATTTCCAGGGCGACTCAGTTCCGCTGGATTCAAAAAGAGGGGGCGGGAGAGCGTCAGAGCTGGGGAGTAGACCGCGTTTACATCGGCGAAGCCTGCCCAGGACTCTGCAGTGGACACGGCTACTGCACGAGCGGAATGGTCTGCATCTGTGATGAGGGATATCACGGTGGGTCACAAACAGTGGAAAATGATAAGTACAAATTCAATTCTTTATGACTTTTAACAGAGCTACATGACTGGTGTCAATTCTGCTCAGAAAAGATGCAGCTTTTTATTTTATTTTGCAATATGATCACAACAAGCTAACCAATTTCCATCATTGTCCCCACACTGTTGCTTCTTCTCCCACCTGAACAGGTGATGACTGCTCCCTCTCTGGCAGAGACTTGCCAAGCTCCATTAAGGACAACTTTGAGTCGGGCAGCGTGTCCCCGGAGAGCTGGCAGCTGATTCAGGGTGGAGGAGTGGGCAGTGGGTGTGGACAGCTGTCACCGCATGCACATGGAGACTCGCTCTATTTTAATGGCTGTAAGATGAGGCAGGCTGTTACTAAACCGCTGGACCTCACTCGAGCCAGGTACAGGTACAGCCAAAACACAAATCACACAGATTTTTTTTTTTTTGCCTATTCATCACACTTAAATGTTTCATCTGAACAAGTTGTCCAGGTTTTGAATTGGCAAAGTAGCCACTCACTGACATCACACTGCCCAAATCATATTTTTCTGTCGGCATGATATTTCTTTTAACAAATGCTGTGTCATTCCAGACTGTACCGTTGAAAATATTTTCCCAAAAGGTTTGAGGCTCATTAAGATATTTTTACACAAATGTGAGAAAAGCCTATATTTTATTTTATTTTTGTCTTAGCGGTGGTTTTTAGATTTGAACTCTCCCACAGAGGTCATATGGTTAAGCAACGTATTTCCTTGTTGTCCTTGTGAGATATTATTTGTGATCCAAAATGTTTAAGTGTGACAAATACGCAAGTGAAATCTTAAATCAGGAAGGGGACAAAAACATAGCGTTTCCTCCATCTTAGAGATGCTAAAATAAATGGAGCGAAAACTTGACGTGTCCCGCTAACCTTTGCCATCCCTTCTCTCTCTCCCCGCAGTAAGATCATGTTTGTGCTGCAGATTGGTAGCGTCGCACAGACAGACAGTTGTAACATTGCTCTGGACCGGGCTGACACGGTCGACCGAGCAGTACTGCTACAGTACAGCGTCACCAATGGAGTCAGCTGGCACGTCATCGCCCAGCACCAACCCAAAGACTTCATAAAGGCCCAGAGAGTTTCCTACAACATCCCACTGTAAGTGACTCACACTGAAGCATTATTATCTTTTCAAATGTCATTTGATTGTGAGAGCTCTTATAATCTCATTGAATTATGCAGCTTTATCGAAGAACTGTCACGTGTTTACGGAGGTCTTATAATAATAATAATTTAACCAATACTCCAGCTGTCCATTACAATACACACAGAATAAGTAATATGATTCTGAATACAGTGTACGCTTGCGTTCCCCAGGGAAGCGAGAGTTAAAGGGGTGATGCTACGATGGTGGCAGCCACGCCACGACGGTGCAGGACATGACCAGTGGGCGCTGGACCACGTGGAAGTAGTTCTGTGAGTACCCAAATTCCCGGCCAGACGCTGGCCTACAACCCCACTAGAGCCCAAATCTGCCCTTGTCTGATCCCGCATCACCAGTAGATGACCCCCCTCCCCTTTTAATCCAAACATACACAGGAAGCGTGCACACAGATCGTAAGCGCATCTCCACACTTGCGTACACCGACAGTGAAGTTCAACACTGCTTCTGCTGTCAGGCAAGCAGGAACGTTACTGCAGTGTGCTTTGCTTTGGAGGGATCTGTTTGTGGATAGATTCCTGCATGTTGCTCGAGATCTTGCTCCCTGCCAATATGGGCACTTGTTGTTTATTCAAAACTAAACCTGACGCATTAAAAGCTGCTAATAACCACGTACGCACTTTTGCCCTGTTTCCTTTAAACAGTGCAGTGCAGTTCAGTTGAGCAAAAACAGTACAATAATAGCCAACTTAGAATGAGCCAAGGCGGATGTTTGAGAAAAATTCTCAGGGCTAAACGCCAAACAAAAATGTCAGTTAAAGTATGAAGACTCTCAAGTTACTCACAAATATCCATAATAAGTGTGAAATCTGTGCCTGGTGGATACACAGGTTTGCCTTCTGCCGTCTCGTGGGAGAACGTGTGACTCTAAAGATACATGTTTTATTTCGTGCAATTTGATGACTTTCCATGTGTCCATATCACATTTCAGCGTCAGGATGGAGCTGGTTCACTGATTGGTCAAAATTGGACTCATTTCTTGGCATGCTCCAGGTCGCATTCTTCTTAGCTGTAGCATTCATTGGTCAGTACGCACAGCTATGATGTCCCACCGTTGACGTCACAGCTAGCACCATCGCGCCAACACGAGTCACGTCAACTGAACTGTACTGTAGCTTTTGGTGGAAACCTGCTTTTTAGTGCCTAAACCTGAGCTGCCCCCTGGTCTCTGTGGCCGTGACCCCCTCCCCGCTCCCTGTGCACGGCGTTCAACAGTGTCTGCTGACAAGCGTGACCATGATCCTCACACTCTTGTTTATTTCTCTCTGTTCAACACTTGTCCCCTCCTCCACACCCAATTTCCTTTTTCTTTTGCTCCCCTCCCCACTACCTTGCCGCTTCATGTGCTGCCTCGGATCACGCTCATGCCCTCTGATTCTGATTTACGACTCCTCAACTTCCCGCCCCCATCACTGCCATTAATTCCATTTATTCTCACTCTTTCTCTTCTCCTCCTCTTCCTACTCCTGGGGGCCCCTGCCCCATCCCTCCCTCAGGCCTGGGCTCCCACCCCCTCTCACCTTTCTGCGAGACAGCAGTCCCCCTCGCCTGCCCCTCCCCTCTCGCGCTCTAACCTCTGCTCTCTTCTGTATTCTGCTCCCTCTGGCATGGCTGTAGCGTCAGGTAAGTTCACCGCCTCTTCCCGAATAAACCCCCCATCCTTCTCCCTCCTCTCTTTTTTGCCAGCCTCACTGCTCCTCACACAGCACACATGCGCACTCACCCCCGGTTTCACCCGACACTGTAAACCTCGCTCATCATCACTGCAGTCATTTCCACGAGCTCGCTTTTTTTCTCGGGTCCCCCGCAGACCAGCTGCTCACACAGTCCAGGTGGAAGCTCTGTAACGTGAAAGTCATTGAAACAAAACCAAATGAAATGGGCTCACTGTATGACAGAAAATGAGGGATAGCCATACCAATTTTTTCAATACGAAGACGACAAAAGTAACACAAATGTCAGTGCGGTGTGTTGGTGTGTACGGTATGTGTGACGTACTTTTATCTGTTTTGTATGACCTGGCTGCTTATTTTGCTGGCTGGCGTTTGTGTTTCAAGTGGCTTTAAATGTTGGGTTTCAGGTTCAGCGTTTGTCGCTGAGTCCCTGGAACGTTCTTTTTTTTGTTTTAGTTCACGCCCAAACTCAGCTTTTACTTCCAGTATCAAACATCTGGCTGGAGCACTTCATCTGCTCAATTCTACACCCTGCATGGCTCAACGTATTGGGTCGATCTCATTTCCTTCATTGCAAACTCCGATGTCTTCGTTCCTCTGCTTTATTTTATTTTAGCAAGACCATCAAACTACTGTGCCAATGACGAGTTTGGGTCAGGGTGGAGCTAGCCATGGCTGCACTTCGGCCTTATTTTCTATGCGCTTAAGTCAACATGCCGAACAGCTATGCACTTTTCTGGCTGTGTGGATTCTACCATCCCCTTAAATCTGGCTTTTACTAATATTCATGCTAGAGTAGCACGTAGGGCGGAGAAGCTTTAGAATGTAGCCGTTTACTATCGCAATATGGTCATTCGAGTGTTCTTCCATCGACTTGTAAGTCTCACGTCTCAGAAAGGTGTAACCTGAAGTTTAAATTCAGTTGCGGCATGGCCCTCCACATATTTAAGTGACTTTGGGAAAGCGACAACTTTTTGTGTTGTCTTCTAATTGCGTAGATCAAACACAGGCTGTGAATCAGCTTGTCGAGCATTTTATTCGTTGACTTTCCTATTTATTGGCAGAGAATATTGGTGCCAAGTTTTTTTTTTACGCCCATCTGCAACTGTGACCAGAAATTCTACTTCAAACAGGGTGCCATTGGCCAACATTAAATGACAAATGGACAAACGTTTGGAGTTTTTTTTTTTTTTTTTTGGGAGGGGGAGGGGGTCCAAATTTAAAGGCCCGGTGTTTTTTTCTCGTGGATTTAAATGCCTTCCACAAGTCTCAAGAAAAACTCTGTGCCCCGTGATTTGCAGCCATCTTTGGATTTCAATGAATCTTGTAGTGTTTGTGCGCTCATTCATTTGTCTGACATCCGGACAAGAGAATACACGATGAGAAGTGCAGGCTCGTAAATAATGACTGACACAAGTACGTACATCCGCACCGCGTCAACAACTCCACCGAGCGCTCAAGTATTTGCCCTTTCTCAGACACTGTTAGCCATTAGCTGCAAGGTAATACTAATCGGTGCATCCAGGAAAAGTCATGCAGCTCTGCTTACCTTTTAGCTTTGATGTAGTCTTTCATCCCTCCACGTCCAGACCGCAAATAAATGGCGCTGGTGCAAAATGGACGAAATTTAATTAAAGTCAGCTAAGTGACCAATGGTTGAACCAACTGTTGTAGATCTTTTTCCGGCTTGATGAGGAAGCATGGAGGACTGCAGGGGCATGCAAATAAGACAAATGAGATGGACCCATTGGCTTCTTTGTCATGGAGGGACCTCCCTTTTTTCCGTGGCCGTTGGCTGTTTTTCCGTCCATAGCCGACATGCGCTCAACCCTCCATCAAGCATACAACCACCCACCCCTCCCCCAGCCTCCCCGCTTTGCAGAAAGCCCCGCAGCCCGCCCCGGCTGCACAGCTGGCTCACTGGCATCACCCTGCTGGACAGAAGAGGCAATGAACAGGCTAAGCGAGAGCGACGCGCCACCATCTCGTTCCGACCGCTTGTCTGCTCAAAACCATGCACTTTGTGTCGATTTTCTTTCCTCCCACTCTTTACTCTGACCTCAAATTCTCAGTGTCAGAGCGTGTGTGTGCAAGTGTGTCCCATGTCTTGTCTTGTAGGTTAGTGAAAATCTGGGTCACGTTTCTTCTTTCCATTTTCAATTGGTCATCAAAATCGAAAAGGGACTGATGATTTATTTTTTTAATTTCACACACATAAAAACAAAAAGATGAGTTTGATTGATTCATTGGAGGCCCAAATAAAAATTACAACATAAAAAAAAAAACAGATCACTGGACTGGACAGAGTTTGATTTCAATATTTAATTGCTTGGGTTTATGAACCCAGAGGTTTGTTAATGGGCATTATTAAAGTTGCATTAGCTTGTTTCAGTCCAACAAGATACTGTCTACACAGAGTTCCTCGCGTATCATTGCACAGTAGTTGCCCCAAGTCTACTATCGTCCTCATGCGGTGTAACCTTTGCATATGAAAGAGTGAAAAACAATGCGTGGAATGCAGGAAGCCAATTACAGTCGCACTTCAAACTTGTTTGTTGTTGCTATCCAGTAATATGGCTGATGGATAATTCAGTGGATTGTGACAAGTAACAAGCTGACATTTCTTGACTTATATTCATGATCAAACTTCCAGGTCATGTGAACATGAAGAATTGAGTATTAGAATCAAATTCAGTCCCGTGGCCTGTTTTTCTGTTTTATTCTCTTATTCTGAGGTGAAAATTACAGTCTGAAAACTCGGTATCTTCCGTTTATTTGTGGTGGGTGAAAAGCAAATGTGGAAACGTGATGTCATTTCTTATTTGTTTGTCTTTCAATTGTCATGGGCTCTTCATGGGTTCATTGCCGTGACATCATCTCCATTGCGGATCAGAGGGTTGATTTACCCTATTCCGTATTTATAGTGTTGACTAAATAGCTGTCTATGAGCCTCCCCCCCCAAAATCAGGATGAACAATGCCATGAACATTGTTGCGTTTGAATGTGCAAAACGTTTTAAACTGCTGCCAATGTTGAACTCACTCATGATTACGTGTGTCGCGCTGTCCCATAACTGGCTTTCCTGGACACAAAAACATATTGAAAATAGAAATAGACTTATAAAAGGAAGAACATCCAGGAAATACAAATGAACTACATTTGAATATCAAAAATTCACAGTGCCTGATTTGACATTCGATTCTACACATTTGAAGGTCATATGGGAAAAACTGTCCAGAATATTAAGCATCCCTACTTTTACTTTATACTGTGAACTTCATTTGTCTATTTGGGAATTACCCTACACAGAACACAACGTGATGTATTTTCTGTTTGAATAACGAGAATTGTTCATACCGCACGCATTTCCCATCACCAACAGAGAGTTTATTTGCACATTAAAAAAGCTATACAGGTAGCCACAAGATTAGGACGAATATTGACTTTAAGCCCTTTTTTTAACCCTTTTGGGGACAGCGGTTACTACAGTGGACAGCTTGCCATCTTATCAGGTTACAGGCTGCATGAAAGGGCTAATTTGCTGCTCCTCGCTGCTTTGAGGGAGGACTTTGAAAGTTGATGGTTCGTTAAGTTTAGCACCGCCTATAACAATGCGTTTCTAGACCATAATGGAAAGAGTCAATTGAAAACGGAAAGAAGGAATGATCCACACATCCACATAGTTGTGGCACCATGTCCTTTGCAGAACATCAACAAATGCCCTTTTGTTGAGCAGCACTACTGGGTTGGAGGTTAGGACCGAGACACGCATGATGCCAGAGTCGAGCGGCAGCATCGCAGCGACACCACCGTGTGTGCGCGCATGAATGAACGTGTGTGTGTGTGTGTGTGTGTGGAAAGGTTCACTAATCACACATGTCCCTCCTCCCCTCTTTCACTGTGTTTGTATCCCTCCAGCACCCGTAAACAAAACTACATGATGAACTTTGCCAGACAAAGCGGCTTACGTCACTACTATAGCCGCAAGCGACGGGCACTGCAGCGGCGTGCCTGAGGCTCCGGAGATGGGATTTTGCCTCCCCCTTGACCCGCCAATCACACACTGAGCCGTCCGCATTCATCCCTTTTGTCTCCTGACGATGTCATCACCAAATCAAGTTCACGCTCTAGCCAAAATCTGTCCCATATCGCGCCCGCAATGCTTTGGCGTTGGATGAAGCTCGAAGACAGGAGTGTCGTGGCCATTTTGTTTACTTTCTACCATGGACGGTTAGGGTTTTGCTGTGGTTCCTCTTCCCACCTGGCTCCATCTCCTGCCACACAGAGCCCCCCCACCACCCCACCCCTGCCCCTCCTTCTCCCCCCCCC